TTTTTTTTTTTTTTTTTTTTTGTACTGGGGATTGAACTTGGGTTCTTGCGCTTGCAAGGCAGGCCACCGAACCGCTGAGCTAAATCCCCGGCCCCAAAATAGAATTTTTGTTTGTTTATTTTAGGATTTCTTTACTTTAAAGAGGCTGAGTGTTGCTGAACCCACAGACATTTACTTCCTGAGCTTTAAGATATGATTCACAAGTGAAGTTGTATGCATTAAAACTACTGGAGCAACTTTACACGACCACGCCTCCAAGGCACACACAGTCACGGGTCCCATTCTGTCAAGAGCAGACGGAGGAGCAGGGGACGAGTGTGGCGTGATGGTGTAAGTACTCGTGCCTTGGGCACTCGGTGGACTCAGTTTAGACAGCTGAGTTGTAGCTGATGTACAAGACGCTGGGCGTATCACAAATGTACAATTACAGGCTTTGTAGCATGTACATGCCTATGAAGCCATCACTACAATCAGGAGAGCTGACGTCCCAGTGTTTCCAGGGGCTCCTACCCCTCCCCAGCCATTCCCAATTACCTCGCATTCTATGGGGTTCACACACATGGGCTCAGACACTGTGGCTTCTCCCTTGTCTGCTTCTCTCTCTCACCGTTGTGCATTTGAGGTTCACCCATGTCGCAGCACTAGCACCGTTCATCCCTTCTCACTGCTGTCTGGTGCTCACTGCACGGACATTTCAGAGTATACTCCTTGTGAAGTTTGTTTATTCATTTGTTTGTTTTTTGAAACTGGAGATGATACCCAAGACCTTCATACTAAGCTTCACCCCCAACCCTTCATTTATTTTGATAAGTTCTCACTAAGTCACTTAGTTGCCCAGGCAGGGCTTGAATTGTGATCCTCCTGCTTCAGCCTCCCGGAGTGCTAGGATTACAGACGGGTACCATCATATCCAACTTCGGTGTGAGCTGATCATCCCTCCCAGCAGTCACTTCTACAAAGTCTTTCTTTTCCTGTGACCTTTGTGGATCATACCACACCGAATTATCTGAAATTGCTAGTGTTAGCAAGCTGTCGCCAACATGCTATCCTAAAAGAATGTCTGAAGCAATATACAGTTAGGATTGGTATGATTCTAAAGAAAAAAGAAAGGATGAAAGAACAAAACATGGAATATCAGGAAGAAAGCACAAATGCAAGAGACAAAAGCACTGACAAATGTAACAGGCTAATTAGTTTTCTAAATTATATTTGATAGTTGAAGCAAAAATTATAAAATTATGCCCAAACTAGGATTTAGCTGTAAATATATGCAGATAAATATACAAGGTAATTATATAAAAATGAAGATGGGTAAAGAGATAAAAAAGGAAATATATTTTCTTTCTTCTTTGTGTGTGTGTGTGTGTGTGTGTGTGTGTGTGTGGTACCAGAGATCAAACTCAGGACTTTGCACTTGTGAGACAGGCAGCAGAACCACTGAGTCAAATTCCTGGCCCCAGTAAGTAAATTTTCTATATTTCACTTAAACTAGTAAAATGATGACACCAGGAGACTATAAGTTATATACACTACACAGAGCAACTACTAAAAAAAAAAAATCTATACAAAGAGATATGCTCAAAAACACTACAGAAAAACTCAAACTGAATGGTAAAAAAAAAAAAAAGTTCAGTAACTCACAAGAGCATAGTAAAAAGAAAACAAATGAGAGATAGAAAAAAAAGCAAACACAAGATCAAATATATCTATAAATGTATTAAATGTAGATGGCCTAAATACAGCAATGAAAAAGACCAAGAATGGCAGAGTAGAATAAAAAATGACCCAATTATATGCTGTCCACAAGAAACTCACATCTAATAGAGTGATATAAGTGACTATAAAATAAAAAGATGGAGAAAGATATAGAAGCAATAATCCACAAAGCAAAAAGGGCTTTAATCAATATCAGTAGACTTTAAAGAAAATTACAGGAGAACAAGAGAAGTATTATATAATAGTAACAAATTCAATTCACCAAAAAAAGAAATCATACCAATCCTAAATATGCACTACTGAACAAAAGAGCCACAAAATACGTGAAGAAAAAAAACAACAGAACTGGAAAGAAATAGATAAATCCACAATTACGGTTATGGGTTCAACACTCCTCTTCCCACAGGAAGACAAATATGGCCTGATCTCATATGTATGTGGAATCTTAAAAGATGAGACTTGCAGGAAAAAAAAAAAATTAGAAGAGCAATTACCAGAGGGTGAAAACGGTATGGATCATGCAAGATGTCACGGAAGAGTATAGAGTTTCTAACAGGAAGAAAAGTTTTTGAGAACTACTGTACAAGCACAGTGCCACAGTAACAATGTATATGACAACTTCAAAAACAGAAGATTTTAAATATTCTCACTACAAAAAAAAGTAAATGAGGTGAGAGATATGTTATCTAGCTTGACAGAATCATCCTACAATATAGACACAGATTAAAACATCACAGAAGAGAAGCAGAGGCAGGAGGATCGCCAAGTTCATTCCCATCCTGAGCAATTTAGTGATTTACCAAGACCCCCATCCCAAAAAGTTTAAAAAGAGGATGAGGATGTATGTAGCTCAGTGTTAAGTCTCTGGGTTCGATCCCCAGTAACCCCCTCAAAAATCACATTGTACCTTATCAATAGATATATTAGTTTCCATTTAAATTTTTAAAAATTATTAAAACATCACACCAAAAGTGAGCAGACACTCAAAAGACAATAAGAATACTATAAACAATCCTAAAAATATAAACTTCATAACAAGTGAAAGGAACCAACTCCCCGCAAAATGCAAAACTATTACAACTCAATAAGAATCATAATCATTTTGCAAAAGACATGACTATACAAAAAACCCCATGGAATGTACAGAAAAACTTCCTAGAAGCAGGGAGTTTGGCAAGGTCACAAAATACAATATCAACATTACAAGAAGAGTTGTATTTCTACAAATTAACAAAAAAGACATGACAATTGAAATTTTAAACACAATGCTATTTAGAAAAAAGTATATAGGTGTAAATTGAACCAAACACAAATAAAATGTGTATGTGAAAATACAAAGTGCTGTTTAAAGAAATAAAAACTAAGTAAAGGAGAGCTATACTATGTTCATCAAAAGACATACAACACAGTAAAGATTCCAAGCATCCCCAAACCAAGAGGCTTAATGCAGTCTGTAGCAAACTCTTAGCAACAGTGTCTATTAGATATGAACAAGATTATTTTTAAATTACAATGAAAATCAAAAGAATTATAATAGCCAAAATATTCTGTAGAATAAAATAGAAATATTCTACTTGAATCCAAGACTTATCACATAGGTACAGTAAGTAGGACAGTGTGGCCTTCCTAGTGGGACAGACACGGATCAATGCAACAGACACAGAATCCAGAAAGAGATCCACAGAGGAGAGTCAACTTGTTCTTTTCCAGTTTTGGGGGTGAAACTCAGGGCTGCACACATACTAGACAAGCACTCTACCACTGAGCAACATCCCCAGCACTCAGCCAGCTGATCCGTGACAAGAGTGCAAAGGTGGAAAGTCGACCTTTCCAAAGAAGTTATGGAGCAACTGGACATCCAAAATCAAAAAAGGAAACTTGGTAAGTCCCACACTTGATACAAATTATTAATTCAAAATAGATCATGGTCTGAAATAGAAAAACAAAACCATAAAGCTACAGACGAGATCTTCGGGATCCAGGGCCCGGTAAAAAGTACACGTGGCACAAAAGCACCAGGACACTGTACCAAAGAGGATGCACAGCTGGCAAAGAAGCACCCTAAGAGGTGTTTGACATCAGAAAAATCAGAGGAACATATGTTAAAGCAGCCAGTCAGAAGGGTAAAAATAAAAAACAGAGACACCACCCAAATCTGCTGGGGATGGGGATGGTAAGAACAGCAGGCTGCTGGCATCCTGCCGGTGGGGTGTAAAATGGAACAGCCACTGGAAAGCAGCTGCACAGCTGCACAGAAACCAATGTTCCTCTGCACACAAAACTATGTGAGTGGAAACC